AAAGTGTGCTTTAAAAAGTTCAATGTAGGGCGCCCGGGTGGCTCAGTCAGTTAAGCGTCCAACTTCGGCTCAGGTCATGATCTCACAGTTTGTGGCTGTGAGTCCCGCATCGGGCTGTGTGCTGACAGCTAGCTCAGAGCCTGGAGCCTGCTTCAGATTCTGTATCTCCCTCTCTCTCTGACGCTCCCCTGCTCACGCGGTCTCCCTCTCTCTCTCTCTCTCTCCCAGGAATAAATGAAACATTAAAAAAATTTTAAAGTTCAATGTAAATATGGGGCGCCTTGGTGGCTGAGTTGGATAAGTGTCCAACTTCAGCTTAGGTCATGATCTTGCAGTTTGTGAGTTTGAGTCCCACATCAGGGTCTGTGCTGACAGCTCAGTAAGTAAGTAAAAAGTAAAAATAAGTAAAAAGTTCAATGTAAATAAAATATTTTTAGTAATTCATTTTCATAGACATGTTTTAAACATATAGAACAAATTTCTCTACTTTTTAAAACAGCAGTTTCAAGCATAATTTAATCTTTTATTTAAAATTAGAGTACATTATGAATATTGGTTTTTATCCCTTATTATAATACAATTATTATTTCTTCCTGGTAGTCTGAAGTCAGTGTGCATTTCTACTGCATGTTTTAGCAAAGTACTCTTATTATTAATATATATAAAGAAGTTAGAATGGTGTGTGGGGGCACCTCGGTGTCTTAATCAGTTAAGCATCTGACTCTTGATCTCGGCTCAGGTCATGATCTCATGGTTGTGAGTTCGAGACCACATCGGGCTCTGTGCTGATGGTGCAGAGCATCCTTGGGATTCTGTTTCTCCTTCTCTCTGACCCCCCTCCCCTTGTTCTCTCTCTCTCTCTCAAAATAAATAAATAAGATAAAAAAAAGAATGGTGCCTGGAACATAGAAATTTTACAGTAACATTACTATTATATGAAGACAATTGTCATTTACTCACTGTAAGCTTTGGATTTTTCTAGTTCAGTGATGAACTAGTTGTAATCCATCCGTATTTTGCTCACTTGGTTGCTGTGGTGACCAAATATCAACATTAGTCAATGGTCTGTCAAGGTAAGAAATTAAGTCTTTGAACATGGAAGAGTGAAGTTAGATGATCCATCAGGAAATTACACCTCTGTTTTAGGTCCCACTGGCTCCATCAAGCCACCTTGGGCGTCCGCCCATACCCCTCTGCCACACCACCACATACACATGCCATCTTTTTTCTCTCTATTGACTTGCCTCCATCTTCAGAGGCAAAAATAGACCAAGATGTAAAGTACCAGAGTGAGCTGACAGGTTGTTTGGAAAGGTGACTGTATACTACCTGTCTTTCTAAAGTTTCTATCCAGCTTTCAAATACTTCATGAGCAGAAACCCTTGGGTCAGCAGCATGGAAGAGTTCATGGGTGACAGGTTTGGGTCATTCTGAGGCAACACTTGATTGGAAAAATTCCTTGCAGGATACTTACAACTACTCCCTGCCTGGCTCTGATCCTGCCAATCAAAGATGAGGCAGGCATCCCCTTTTGGCAAGTGGCCAGAGGAGGGTGCTCTGTTGTTAGGGGAAGACCCTCCGGGAAGAGAGGGAAACAGACAAACAGGGATCCTCTTCGCTTTCCATCTCCCTTCAAACTTGCAAGTGGAGCCGTTGTGGTGTTTCTCCTTTTTTGTCTCATCCTGTCACTCTCTAGTCTTTGAACAATAGAGGCAACAATGGTCTTGTCTAAATGATTTCACAGGCTATTATTCAGACACTCAACTTTTAACATTTCAATTTTGTCATTCTGTTTCCACACAAAAGGTGCACTTCTACAGTATAATGTTCTCAGAATTATGTCAATGAGCAGTAATGGCTTTTAACATTAAGTTGATCATTAACAACTACATTATCTGAGGCATAATCAGTACTTCAGCCTTTTGTGAGATTATGACACTATGGAATTTGAAACTAATAGGAGGATGCACTCATAGCAACATATAAAAATATTTACATGGTAATAAAAGCTTAGTGGAAAGCAAACATCTAAAACGGCATACTGGATAAAAATATAAACTTTTATTTTATTTGCAAGAGGTGAGTCTCTAAAGGAGCAAATAAGTGAGCAATATCACGTCAACAACATTTCTTTGTTCCTAAAGGTTTCTGTAGTGTATGCAAACATTCTACATAGGCGCAGTTTCTGTGGAGCTTTATCAGAAGGGCATATTCCAAAACATTTGTATTTTTAAAACAGTGAAAAAACAGAAAGGGGAGCCTCTGTTTTAAGTATTATTGTACCTTCTCAAATTTTTAAACTATTTGTCAAAGGATGTTTATTTGATAGTCTTGGGTACTGTTTTTAAAGTTGTTTTCTTCTCCCTGCCCCCACCCCCAGCTCTTCCATGAGAATTCACTCATTCAGGGAAGAATTGTGTGTATTTGCTTACAATCCAATGCTTGCAACCATGCACCATCACAGTGGCATTCAAGACACAGGAGAACAATCACAGTGGTGACACCAAATCCTGAAGTCTAAAGAAAAGCCCCAGTCTGAAGGGACACACTTGGATCTGGATTAGAATTCATTAGTTGTAAGGAGGAAATATGTTTCACCAAAAAATCAAGCCACTTTTCATGTAATCATAAGAGTAACATGTATGCTATTATTATCCTTTGATAAAGTAATCAAATTTCCAGAAATCTATCTTTTAAGAAATTTCTAAATCCAGAAATAACTTAGTACACAAAGAAGTTTATCGTAACATCATTTATAACAGTGAATAGCAAACCAACCTAAATATCCAAAGAGAGAGGGATGCTTAAGAAACCAATGGCTACATTTTCACACATGAAAGATGGCATAGCCATGTACCAAAAAAAATTAATTAAAATTATTTATAAAATTAAATGAATAAGAACAAATACAACATCATGGGTGCGTGTGGGTGTGAAGCACCATGCATAGAAAAAAAGGGGGGAAGTGGGATGGAGGAAGAAAATATACCTAATATTTCAGTTATAATTTTTCATAGTGTAGTTTTTCAAAGCAGTAGTTTTTTCCTATTCTTCTTCTTTCTTCTCTGTACTTCTCTGCATTTCCAAATTTTCTTCAAAGCAAATACATTTTTATTTTTACAATAAAAAAGGATGTCTATTTAACTCTGCTATGTAGTTGTCCTTATCGGGAGATACTGAACCAAATAATACATCCGACAAGAACCATGCGCAACAATCATGGTTTTCACTCTTCCAAACATTGAAAATTAGTCTTTTGATTTGCAAATACAGAAACTTGGGGAGCCTGAGCGGCTCTGCGGGTTAGGCATTCAACTTCAGCTCGGGTCATGATCTCATGGTGTGGTTCGTGGTTTCAAGCCCTGCATCAGGCTCTGTGCTGACAGCCCAGAGCCTGGAGCCGGCTTCAGATTCTGTGTCTCCCTCTCTCTCTGCCTTCTCTCTCTCTCTCTCTCTCTCTTTCTCTCTCTCTCTCTTTTTCAAAAATGAAATAAACATTAAAAAAAAAGATTTGAAAATACAGAAACTTTGTGTGGACTACATGTATCATTTCTGTGACTCCACCCTGGCCCCAAATCTTCCTTTCTCTGACTGTCTCCATCCACGCTGAGAAAGCAGTGCCATTTCCAGGTGTACCTCTCTGTGCCCCAGAGATTGACAGCAGCTCTCTCTGTGTGTGGAGTAAACTCATTTCCATTCACACTTCCCTTTTCTGAGCCCATCTCTCAGCATCAGTACAAGGTGTTTTATTTAAGGAATGGAAGCAGCATATTTTGAGGGAGAGTGGACTGCTCTTATTGCCTCCTTCCAGGAACCGAGCAGACATGGAAGAGAATGTATATCCTCTGATTGCAGGGAGGGAATCTGATATGACAAGTCGTAGGGTGAGAAGGCAGATGGACAAGAGGGGATTGCTCCAGTCAGAGTTGAACTTGCTGACCTTTGTATGGTCTCCTTCCGTCTGCCTCCCTTTTCAAACACCTTATATAACTTCTCCCTCCTGGAATACTCATTCTTATCCTGTCCTTCTTACTCAAGCCCTGCCTCTATTTTTCTTTTTAAACACAGCCCCTCTAAAAATAATACATATGAGATGATAGATAGATATCTTACTTACACTACTGCTTCAGATCCCAGAGGACTCTTCCAAAGTGTTCCAACTGAAAACCAGTTCAACTCTGTAATTTTTCTTATTATGTTTCATTCCTCAACTGCATATTGGAAAAATATTGATATACAGAAGCCTTATGCCAAAATTATAGTAATAAAATATGAGAAGGTTTATTCTCCTGGACATCTTTAAAGCTTCCAAGATACAGGAAAATGTTGTGAACTGTAAAACACAGGGATAGTGATTTTAGTTGTATGACTGCTCTGAAGTTTTAAGAATTTGCCTGGACACCTGGGTGGTTCAGTCAGTTGAGTGACCAACTCTTGATCTTGGCTCAGGTCATGATCTCATGGTTTGTGGTATCAAGCCCCACATCAGGCCTTGCACCAACCACACGGAGCCTGCTTGGGATTCTCTCTCTCTTCCCTCTCTCTCTCTCTCTGTCCCTCACTCATTCTCCTCTCTCTCTCTCTCAAAAGAAATTTTAAAAAAGAATTTGTTACATGGATGCACATTTAGCATTGTTGCTCTTTTCTGACTTCCAATCAGTGTTTCCTTAAAATACGTGGAGAAAAAAAAGCGTAGGCTTATCTTTGATATAAGGAAAGAATAAATGTACTGAGAAGTTATGAGAACATTGAACCCAGAACCCATGGGTAGTGGAACACAAGTCACTAAGCAGCAACCAGCAGCTTCTTTAAAGAACAAATCAGTTTTTCTACAGAGCAGTTTAATCACTTTCTACAACAGAAGAAAAGGACACATGCACAAACAAGAATTCTTTGATATAATCTTTCTGGTCTTTGGGAAGCTTTCGGTCTCTGACTTCTGCAGTGCTAGTCAGGGATGTCAACAATCCCATATTGCCCACCAAAAAGTGACCACTTACGTTCTCCTGAGTGGCCTATCTCTGTGTGAAGATCATGTCTCTTCTGCACATAGAATCTCACTTCTGCTGTACAATGTCCTTTTACTCAATATGTTTGTCTTCCTCCCATTCCAAGAAGCTAAATAGTAGGAAAGCTGTTCAGTGAATGCAACACCGTGACCTTCTTTCTTTCATGGTGCTGTTACACTGAGTCAGGTACCATGCGGCATGAGATTCCCTAGTGGAAAAAAACAGTGCCCTCAGGTTATCTCCAAAAATTACCTCTGTGTTATTTATTTACTGCTGTATGACAAATTGCCCCCAAACTCAGTAACTTCAAGCAATGGTAAATGTTTATCACATCACAAAGGTTTTGTGGGTCAAGACCCAGGAACCTCATAGAGTGGCTGAGGTCTCTTATGATGTCGTACTCAAAATAATGACTTGAGTTGCAGTCACCTGAAGGCTTGACTGAGTTTGAATGGTCCACTTCCAAGGTGGCTCACTCCATGGCTGACAAGTTGTACTAGCTGTTGATAAAAGGTCTCAATTTCTCTCTATGTGGCCTCTCTAGAAGGTGGCTCAATATGGGAACTAGCCCTCCCCAAAGACAGTGATAATAAAGAAGAATTTAGGAGCCAAGACTTTTATGACCTAGGCTGGGAAGTCACAGACCATCATTTCCACTGTATCATATTGGCTGTACAGGATCAGCCTTGCCCAGTATGCAAGAGGACTCTACAAGGGCATGACAATAAAAGGAAAGATCATCGGAGGTATCTTGGTTATCTTGCCATTGCTCTTGAAACCCTCCATCAAGATGTGGAGTTGTTCTTTGACCAGTTAGAATCTGGACCGACCTATGATTGTTCTGACCAACTGAATACAGTGGAAGTGAGGCAATGCAGGTTCCAAGTTAAGAGTCTTCTTAAAAGACTAGCAGTTTTGATTTCCTGCTATTTGGTGTCCTGAGCCATTAAGAAAGAAGTTCAGGTTATGTTGCTAACAGGATGGCTACAGGCAGATGTGTTGAGATATCAGGCATGTGTGCAAAAAAGGCCATCTGGTTGATTTTTCAGAGGACTCCAGTACCTGCAACTTCATGAGAAACTCTGATTAAGAATCACCAGTTGAGGAACGTCTGGGTGGCTCAGTTGTTGTACGTTAAGCATCCAAATTCAGTTCAAGTTATTATCTCACAGTTCATGAGTTCAAACCCTGCATCGTCTCTCTGCTGTCAGCACAGAGCCTGATTCAGATCTTCTGTCCCCTCTCTCTCTGCCCCTCCCCCACTCATTCTCTCTTTCTCAAAATAAATAAATAAATGTTAAAAACAAGAATAACTAGCTGAGCCCAGATAATTCATAGAACTATGACACATTATATAATAAATTGGTGTCTGTAGCCACTAAATTTTGAGATGGTTTGTTATGTAATGGCAGAAAACCAGAAAAAAAGTTATTCAAGTTTTTCTTATTCATTTTTGGTATTTTATGTACAACCTTTACAACATAAGTTCTGCGATAGCAGGAAACATACCTGGATTACTGTGATGGCCTTTTAGCTGGCTTTTTACATTACTCTTGCCTCCAACCCTCCAGTCCCCAAATATCAGAGAGACCATCATTATAATGTGTATTAAAGTCTTTTCTGGGGCCACCTAGGTGACTCATTCAGTTAAACATCAGACTTGGGACCAGGTCATGATCTCATAGCTCATGAGTCTGAGCTCCGTGTCAGGCTCTATGCTGACAGCTCAGAGCTGGAGCCTGCTTTGGATTCTGTGTCTCCATCTCTCCCTGACTCTCCTCCACTTACTCTCTCTCTCTCTCTCTCTAAAAAATAAATATAAAACATTAAAATCATTTTTTAAGTCTTTTATGATTGCCAAACTAGGCTATGTTTGCATTATGTACATTACATACCTATTTCATAATGTTTATTGGGTTGTGTTTTTACATAATCACTTTTTTAAGTTGGTGTCCCTCACTACATCTTAATCTGATAGACAAGGTGCATAAATATCTTCTTCATTAGTCTAGCTTCAGTTTCAAGCACACTGCCTAGAACAGAGTACATGTTCCATAAATATTTGTTAAAGGAATCAGTTTCAAAAAATCTGTACCCTTCTCTTGGTTTTGTAACAGAAACTTATTTTTTAATGCTTTCAGTGTGCTTCTTTGAGTTCCTTCTGGTTGCAAAGAAAAAAATAAAGCCAATTAATGTTTTAGATAATTTTTCACCTAGAAATAGGTCGTGGAAACAGCTACCTGAAATGTGACCTCGTTCAGTCGTTGGCTTGACTTTGGATTCTCTTATAGAAAGCAGAGATCCAGTCAGTCTTTATTGAGACCAGGTCTTCAGATTCTATGTTGTTCATCAACATAGAATAACAAAAATAATTCACCCAATCCTTTTTTCCAGTTCTCATTTGATTTTCTAATTTTACTACAATACTCTATTTTTATTTAAAAAACTGATTTTCTGCATTCTCTGTTGCATATTTATATTTATTAACTTATTTAGACTAAGAATAAAAGATTCTCCAGCTCTTTCCTTCAGTGACCTTGGAAAGCATAAAGCTTTGGTTAATATAATTATACCAGTCCTAGAAAATCAAAATCACTACCCAAAACTCTTCAACACTAATAAAAAATGGAGCCAGACAGACTGTTAGGTAAAGCATATGCTAATAAAGCACAGAAGTGGTTAAACACAAGGACATTTTCCTCTATAGGAGACCAAAGGCCCAAATATTCAATAACAAAAATTTTAGCCATATGTGCACTTATGTAGAACAGATTATTAACGGTTATCCTTCGTAAATATAAGAAATGAATTACAATAAATCTGAATAATTTTAGATTATTTTTCTGAAATCACAGCCATTAAGCAGTGATGATCATTCAGTGGAAATTTTCATCAAGATACATGTATGACAGAAATACCAAGTTCATTCTGCAGTGTCAAGTGGAGGCAAATTCTACAAATGCTTATATTCAAAAACATTTTCAGAGTAATTACGTTTTTTTGGACAACACTTTCAGCATTCTTTTTTTTTTTTTCTTACATATGCTTCTAAATCTGTGTTTGGAATCCAAATTTTAAATTTAATTACAAGCAGAAGAATATGCCTACTTAACATCCACTTAGGCCTACATTACCCTTAAATTTATAGAGATGCATGGAAGTTTAGGGTTGGAAGCTTTTTAAAGTTTATCTAACCCAGTGGCTTTCAAAGTTTAATGTGCATCAAAGGGCTTCTTGAAACACAGACGGCTGGGTGCCACCCTCAGAGTCTCTGAATCAGTGGACCTGGGGTAAAGCCCAAGAATTTGCTTCTTTAAGGCATTCCCAGATCATGTTAATGTGACTGGTCCAGGGACCACACTTTGAGGATCACTGATTGAACCCACATTTAAATTTTACAGATAAAGACATAAGAGGCCAGAAAACCTGAAAGACTGGTTGAATGATTCTGCCACAGTCAGTGGCAAAAATGGCAGGAAGAGGCAGAACTGGGATGCAGCGTTTCTAATCCCAGGTAGGGTTTCCTTTCATTCAACGTTCCCAGTCCAAGGTCTATTCAGTACCATATGAGGTGTTGATGAATACACTACCGAAAAAATAAGTCACAGCCGAAGAAAAGGGAAGGCAACCCCAACACCCTCTCTCCCAGATGACAACATTAAAGACATGCAGGACCCCACCAAAAATGGCATGATTCAGGTATTTCTTTGCGGCCACTACTCTCCTTTTGAAGTTCCTATCCCTCTAAACATCTAAGGGCTTACTTTGCATTCTTACATTGCAACGTCTTTGTTGATAACTTTTCAGTAATTCCATTACAGCAAATCACAGGGTTGTCAAATCTTCAAGGATCAGAAGATCATGAGTTGACAAGTAGCAGATGCGCAGAAAGAAGTTTTAAATAACGTGCATTCATTCCCCATGTGGAGCCACGTAGAATACCTCTTACCCCGTGATAGTAAAAACCAGCCGGGAAGTAACAAAGAATGGAGTTATGCCACGATATTTACTGTTTCTCCCACTTTTATTCAGTGAAGAATCAAAGAATTCAGAAGAAAGAAAACTCTTTAGATTTTCAAACAAGCTGTTTCTGTTTAAGGACAGAAGTTTCTGTTAAAATTTAGTATAATTGTGATGTCACTGAGCACAGTGAAAGCTGCAGGCAAACAGAGCATTCTCATTGTAATACCACTACTGTAGGCATATTTGAAACACTATAGCTTCTTCAAACTATAATTATAACTGTTTGTTGCTTCTGTGGTTTCAAAGATAATAGAAGTTGTTCACAAAATTTACACAACACTGATGTGTTGCATATAAAATGTAGACAGTCACGTGTAAAATATCCCATTATATATTTTGTCATAGACAGAAACAGCTGAGAAACCTACAGACCATCAAATTATGACTCCAGTGTTTCATTACAAGCAATTAGACTCCGGAACCCAAAGGTACAACCAAAATGCTTGGTGTAATTTGGTTAATACCACTGAAGAGCTGGCCAACAGGTGTTTGAGTCTGTAGAAAAGAAAAATTCTAGTGCCTATCGGGGCTTGTTACTTTACTGGTAACTATTTCTATCATCAAAGGTGTAACTAGGGAGAAAATACATGTTAAGTGAATTCAGTGATTCAAAATTATACTCATTCTTTCCACTGAATGGCTACTCTCTGTTAGATACAGTCCTTGCCCTCAATGAAATCAAAATCCAGCTGAGAGGTGGGCATAAATTCATTCTTTTGTCAAACCCTGAAGAGTGCTGTAAAGCTCTCAGTACAACCCGTTAGTAATATTTCAGAACACAGTGGCTTACGTGTTCAAAGGACTGGGAAATTAGGAAATTATCCCCAATAAATGACACTGACCTAGCCTAGAATAATTAAAAAATAGTTTCCATATAGAAAAGATAATCATGTGGTGGGAGATAAAGTTATCAAAGACAGAGGTCATATCCCTCAGAAAATTATGCTAAGGAATTTGGGCACTGTTTCCTGACAGTAGAAGCCATGGAGGCTGTCTGAGGGCTATAAAGCAGAGTAATTTCTGAGAAAACTCTTCTGGGAGGCACACCTTAAAACATGGACAAAAAATAAAAGGTACTTTTGTAATGCCTGAATGCGCTGTTGTAACAACAGAAGACTAGCCAGGAACCAATTACAAAAAACAAACTAACTAACTAAAAAACAAAACAAAACAGAATAAAACAAAAAAACAAGGCGCTAAAGAAGTTTGGATGAACTTTTAGCCTGAGGCACCACTAATTCCTGG